AATTAACACGCAATCTTTCAACAAATACAGCTAACTATACTTTACAACAACTACTCAACATCGAACTAACTACAACAACGAAACCTTGGAATCGACTTAATAATGAAACCAACTTAATAATTTCAGAAACTTATGTCCTAAGAGGCTTAAACTGCAGTCCATATGCTCTAGTTCTTTAAAAGTTTGCGAGTTAGCTTTTGCACGTGGCTTCACTCGGGTGATCACATAATAATCGCTTCTGCATCTTCAGGGAAGAGTCCTTTACAAAATGTAGCCTGTTTTACTCCAGAATAGTAGAAACTTTTGAAGCTAAAAGTTTCTGTTACAAATGACATAAAAATCTATTAGTGCAGACTTTCAGTTCAGTTAGGAGTAATACTAAAGTTTCCAATGTCCATTAATTTTAATTTTAAAATTTTATTGCAGCCTCAAGAAACTTAGGCTGATTTGCACCTAAGTTGACCGTAACTATGTATGACGTTATCCGATGTTTTTTGTATCGAATTTGACAGATTTTTGGCGTTTGTCAAAGTTAAAGTAAGATGGTGCAACCTTGCCTTAATGTTTACTACCTATGTACCTACTCGTAGTTACTGACTTAAAACGTTTGAAATTGGTGTTTATCTATTATTTATTTTCTTATTATTCCGCTACCAACCGCTTTCCGCTGCTCCGTTGAATGGACGTACGAGTGATATTGTCGGTGTTGACGGTAGTCAGCAAAAATGTTCACAGTTTGTTTTTTTGTTTCTGTATTAGTTAAGGTACATACAAGTGTAAATGTTAATGTATGTTTTAAATTCAATAAATTATTTGTATTTGTATTTGTATTATTTTTATGGGATACTTAGCTTCTGATCACCTGAGTCGATCTACAAAATATAACCAACTCATATAAACTGTTTCAAAATAACTTAAACTTAATTTACAATAAGTTGCACAAATACGTACCTATTTCTTTCCCGTCTAAAATTTATATTTCTAGAGAATTTGAGCTCTGAGTCAACTAATGGCACCTGTCAAGTGCCCAATACTTTTGACTGGCTCTCTACTTTACCAGAATATATTACATCCAGAAATTGCTTATAAAGAATTCGTTTTAAATCCTGCCAGGAGTGAAAAACCATGTAAAATAAATCCTTCTCCTATCCCACCTGTCACCCTTTACGAGTATAATCTGCAAAATCGGCTTTATAGTAAATAGGATAGAGATGGTATCGGCCTCACGCTGAACTGGCTTCATTAATCAGTGCGCGGCCTTTGGGCCTCAGGGTTGCTGCAGTATAACATTACTTCACAAGTAGGAAAATAAATTATTATTGCCGTTGACTAAGTATGCCTCTTCTAATATTACGAGACAAGCTTAACATCAAGGCGTGCGTAAACTTAGGCTAGGTTACTTTTTTTCAACTTTGACAAACGTCAAAATCTGTCAAACTCAATACAAAACACCGGTTATCGTTAAAGTTATGGTCAAAGTTAGGTGGTGCAACTCAGCCAAATGAAATCCACACATAAATACTGAAACTATTCTATATGAGTGCGAGACAGACGGCTGAGAGTGAGAAAGTATATCGTTTAAAATGTCAAAATTATTGTATGTCTTGTTATGTTACAAAAAAAAATTAACATTTTGTCTCACGGCTCATTCATCACACAGATCATACTATGATCTGAGGCTCAAACTATAGTAAGAATGTTTTTATCGTCTAGTTTTTCGGGAGTAAAATAAAGAAAAACAAGTATGTTTTAAGGTCTGAAATTCATTTCAGTTTCTAAGACAAGGACAATTTATTTAACAAGAATCTCAGCACAATGATAGATAGACCTCCATCAATATCAACGTCACAGCCCTGGCTCACCTGGGACGCGACAACACTCCTTGCGGACAAGTTGAGAAATTCCGATGGAACCTGCGAGTTCTCGCCATCGGATTGGAACGCCATTTTTAATTGAATAAGCTGCCAGTTTGAAGGATTTATTTTTAAATGGAGTTGTTTTAAAAATTAAAAAGAAGTTTCTAACAACTCAGATAATCCGCGAGAGCTCGTGCAGTTCAGAGCATAGAGTTAGTAGTCGTTCGACTTCTAGTACTTGATTATCCATAACTAACTACGTAATAATTATTATGGTAAAGCTGAATAGACAATAGACCATAGCCCAGTGTAGACTGCTTCAGAGGAAAGTATTTTATTTGAACTTCGCGTAAAGTATTGTATTAATACTTTAGCTGTAAGATTTTTAAGTGACCAACCAATTACTTACCAAAAGGTACTCACAGTAACAAGCGTTAAAAACGGCACTGTGACCCAATTTATTTAGATTAGACGATGCACGATGTTGATAAAATCGTACTAATAAATCGTTTTCAATTGTAATTCAACACGCGAGTTTGAGCGCGTGTTTTGATACATTCGTGGCCAATAATGGCGGAATTGACACGAACAGTCGACAATTGTTTATTAAATGGGTAATAAAGTGGAAAACACTTTTAATTGAATGCCAGAATGTAATTGAATCGTACTGGCGTTTTAAAAGCACATCAACGTGTACAAATGCTTACGCAACGCGACGTCCACCCACAAGGTAGACCGACGACATCATAAAGGTAGCAGGGAAGCGCTGGACGCAGGCCGCTACCAATCGATCAACATGGAAAGCATTGGGGGAGGCCTATGTTCAGCAGTGAATGTCCTATCAATAGCTGAAATGATGACACTCAGTGAAAGTCAAACCACTAATATACAAAGTGTGGCGTGGATTGGTCTACAGGGTGTTTGGTAAATGGGTATATGAGCCGACACTAACCCATGTTAACATGGTCATATAAATGGTATGGTGAAGTCAGAAAATTGATATCTTCATTTTAATTATTTTATTTTTCATACAAATCGGATTTTATAAAAAATATTTTGTATAAAAATTTTAAAAATTAAAATGATGATATCAAATTTCTGACTTCACCATACCATTTATATGCCCATGTTAACATGGGCTAGTGTCGGCTCCCATTTACCTAACATCCTGTATATATTAAGACTAGTTGTGTGTGAATAACAAGTAGGTGCTTATCTTTGAAAGTTTTCAAAATCTCATATTATTGTTGTTTCTCAATTTCGTTGTTTGAAAGCAAGCAATACCTACTACCATATACAAGATATGTATAATTATTTTTTACAAAATTAATTTTTCAGCTCTACAGCAGTCTCTTTCTTTACTCGCATATCACATTCAAACAAATAACAAGCAAAAACCACTGCATGACTTGAAATAAAGTTTCATGAAAGCCTCAACGTTAACTTAAAACAGTTTTAAAAACGAACCTTTCCACGTGAAAGTCACTTGAGTTTTTAAAAACTTTTTGTGGGACTTTTCGAGTTTTTAAAAACTTTTTTTAGGACTCACTGCTTTCAATGTAGGTCCACGGATGTTAACACTTTATAACTTTCTGTAATGAACGAGTGGTTTTCGTGAAGTTATATTTTAAGCCTTAAAAATGAGTAAAATTTTGTGTAAAATTGAAACTGACGACGATGTTTAGTGTTTTGTTTTATTTTAAGCTTGATTTTTACAAGCTTATGGAAAGGTATACTAATAAAGTAGTTGTATTTAAATAAAATTAAGTAATTAATTACAAGTAACATAAATTGAAAGCCACCTTAGATAGTAAGAAAAGTTATCAGTAAAAGCTCGTATGCAAAGTAAACTGCGTTGATTCGTAGCACAGAAAGCTTCAGCCACAATAAAAATAGAGTAACAGTACCTCCATATTCCTCACCATACTTAGCGATACGTTGTAAGATATAGCTTAATGGACTATTTTTTTTAAATATAAAACTATATTCATTAATCGTACTCATCATAAAATGTCGGAAATATTCCTAGAGATGTAGGTGAACAAAATCAAAAATACATTAGGTAATTCCACATAATATTTTAAACTTTCATGTTACATCTATACTTATAATAAATCTGTAGAGAGGTCAATTCTGTACATGAAACATATTTTCAAAATAACTATCAGGGGGTGATTAGTGATCGATACTAATGCCAAAAATGCAATCAGTAAAATTTTTGTCTGTCTGTCTGTCTGTCTGTATGGTCCTTATAGAAACAAAAACTACTTGACGGATTTTAACGAAACTTGGTACAATTATTCTTCATACTTCTGGGCAGGTTATAGTATACTTAGGAATTCCCACAGGAACGGGAATTAGCGGGAAAATCCTTTTCTATGAAAAATCTAAACCGCTTAAATTAGACGCTTGAAATTTGGCATACAGGTACCTTAGTTAACTTAAAGCTTAGTTACAACAGGATATTGCAAAAGTCTCACGGGAACGGGAGTTAGCGGGAAAAAACATTTGTATGAAAAATCTAAACCGCGTAAGATAGATGAAGAGTGTAAAACGGGATCCACGCGTACGAAGTCACGGGGCGACCGCTAGTTTTAATAAATTCTCGCTAGTCACTAGTCCCGCGACTATGACTCGTGCAACCGATTTGAAACGAGAAGGTAAATACCTTTTTAACTTTTTTTTAAGTATTTATGGGTCAATCTTGAAAGCCAAAAAAAACACTGTCCGGGGGAAAAAACTACCCATAACGCTTAAATTTTAATGTAAGATATTTTTTTTCTGTTACTTTCATGTTTAAATTAAATGGGGCACAACAAAAACGGTGTTTATTTTAGCTTAAAACATCTGAAAAAAATCTTCGAAGCCTTGATATTTGATTCCCCTGGGCTGTCCCTTTGTAATTTTTTGAACAAACCATTAATAATTTACCTATCTATAGTGATAAATTTAATTTTTTTTGTAATTTAAGAGTTAAAGGGTGAGTTGTTTAATGATTTAATAAATACACAAAGTCTGTGCCAGTCACTCTTTTTTATTTAAAAAATAGTTTGTGTTTGTCCGAGCGCAACGATTGATTCCCTTGGCGCGTCACTAAATGCCACCTGCCTTGCTATTATAAATGTCTACGGTGAAGGCGTGCACATCAGCAAGTGGCTTTAGTCGCGCTCTGAACATCACGAGGAGAGGTCGCACGTCTTGACGTTTCCAAGCCGGATTTACGAAGGTAAGAATGTGATTCCCCTGGCTTTGTTTCACTAGGTCATTGATTACCTTGGCCACTATAAAAAATCTTTTTTGATGATTAAGAATTTCTTTACTAGGATTAACAGTAGGGTATATAGGACTGTTAATTGTTTTTATAATAATCGTTGGCAAAAATCAATCCATTTAAACAAAATCGAAAGAATATTCACTTTTCTTGACTCCCCTGGCATTGATTCCCCTGGCAAAATACCAGGGGAATCAAAGCTTCCTTACATTATCATACTCTCATATTATGATTATAGGTTTACGTGATGGGTAAGCTTCACTAGGATTATGCAAGTAAGTACGGCGTGTAATCTGGAATTACTTGGAGAAAGGACACGGCAAAGGAGCTCCCGATGGCGTGGGCGAAGTATTGAAAAGAATAGCAGATCGCATCGTCGCTGAAGGCAATGACATTCCAAACATTGATGTCCTTATCAGCTATCTTAAAGATAAATGTCCGGGAGTTACGATAGCGGAGGTTCAAAAATCGTATGATGGAGAAGGATCTGTTAATTCCCTCTGATTTAAGAGAATTCCGGGGCACCATGGATGTTCATCAGGTGATATGGATCAATAAAACTCCCGAAGTCCTCGCCATGAGACGTCTTAGCTGTCATTTAGAAAAATGATCGGAAGAACCAATTCATTGTCCTCATGGTCAACATATAGATTTTTATAATATCAAAAGTTCAAATGTGCACAGCACTGGTACATCTGAAACCGCGAAATCAAACAAGACCGTAAAAGAAAATTACTTCGATAAACTTTCTACTTCGAACCCAAATTATGGGCTAGCTGCAACTGAAGTTCAGAGCATTCAATCGGATAATCATATTCCATCTGATGATAGCTTATGGATTAATGTGCCTTCAGTAAAATAAAATCTTAATTTCCGATTCTATGTGTAAAGTAGTAACGTCTGCTCTCTATGGCGGGGAAGAGTCGGATTCTACTGATGAATAATTTATTGTTTGTCCATTTGCAAATCATATCAATTTATTTTTTCAGGTTCATACGTTTTTGAGAAACTTCATCCCTGTTAGTTACATAATATAGCGTCATTGTTGCCGCATAAAAAGGTGTTGTACTTTTATGCATACAATACCGTCTACAATATTGACTTGTGTTAGAATTTGTTTACGTTAGAATAATTTGATAGTTTTTAGATATTTATGTTGATTTGTTACAGTTCATTGATAGTTCCTAGAGAGAGATATTGTTTTTTTTTTATAATACTACTTATAAGATTAATGATAATATAAAATGAAACCAAAAGTCTGATAAGTTTAATTAAAATAAACGATTATTCTATACAAAATGTTTTATTTTGATTCCCCTGGCATCTTATATTGATTCCCCTGGCACCAAAGTTTTAAAGTCATATATCTTTTTATCTAAATATGTGACAGTGATGCCTATTTGTGAAATATGTTTACAATGGTGTGATATTTAGCCTTTTGTTAGTAGAAGTTTAAACTCTTAAGTTTTAAAAAGTGCCAGGGGAATCAACCGAATACGCCCAATTTCAAGATTGACCCTTATTTGTTGCCAAATCCCGTAATAGTGAGAATATGTACATTATTTCCCGTTCACAAAACCTACTTTAACTTCAACCTCTACTGTGGCGCTACGCCAGCGCTATAATAACAGTAACAAATGGTTTAATCTTCTACAGTGCTACGACTACGAAGCTACGACCACGATCGTAGTATGGCAATACTCGTAAACAATAACTCGTAGTATGGAACTGTTCAAACTGCAGTTGTATGGTAATCGCCGATTTCTTCATGAATATTTGTGTTTTGGAGCCTTGTTCTTCTATGATTTGGAAAATGTTAGAGATTTTTGGTGCAGAATTCATTTATTTTTATAGCAACTGTGAATAAGAATATTGTACTAACTGGTAAAACCTAGCAACGAACAAATCTAATGAAGCGTAAATTTTAGTTTTTCCTACAAAATACATTTACGCTAGCCGTATGGTTCTGGCTGAGTAAAATACTGCATTCTTCCCGTGGATATCGTAAGAGGCGACTAAGGGAGGAATATACGTATGTAAGGCCTTCCAGACCGTTTGGCGAGCTTAGGGAGTTCAAATCCGCTATTTACCTCTGGTGAAAAAATTAGAGAGCACATCCTCCTGCAGTGGAGATGAAATGTCCTGAAGATTCTTATACTTTATTTATTTATTTTAAGGACAGCCAACAAAGCATACACCTTATCTAATATAACCTTAATACATCAAACATTCTGTGGTGTTGCCTTACTTAAAGGCTGTCACATACAATACTAAATTAAAAATAAATAGTACCTACGTAAGTAGTTAATTACTAATCAAAATAGTACATTTTAACTGTGCCATAAAAATAAGGTCAAAAAGTTCACAGTCACGAACATTCGCGTTATGACTAATTCATTTTAAACGTAAGCTTTGGGCGAGCTTTCACTGCCTGTTCGATGACCGCCCACGATAAGGCTGTATTGGAATAACTAACGCAATCACGTCATCGTGCCAAAACAAAGAAACACGAATAATTAAACAGTTATTAGAAATGACGGAAAATAAGCAACTCATTAGATTACGTGCTGAAAAATTTTAGGGTTATTTACTTATTAAGTTTTTTCCCTGGTATTACCACCAGAGCAGGTATATACCATCCTAGACTTCTTCTTCTTATTCGTTACGCTCTTGGCAGAGCGGTCGTGGTCACGTTGAGGCGTTGTTCACATCGGTTGTAGAGGCGGATACAACTCTCCGCACGATCTCCCGCCATCTCTCTCTATTAGCAGACTGTCTGGTGCAGTCACATCCTAGACTGCATCTCACTTAACATCAGGTTTGTATAGTCAAATAAATACCTGCCTGGTTCTGTAAAAAATTAGTATTTTTTACCCCCTCTTTCTTACTAGCGACCGCCTCAGTACCTACTACGACAGTTTTTTTAACCACTTAACCGATTTAAATGAAATAGTTTGAGAACCAGAAAAATCATGGGAAACTGTTTTTAGGGTTTTTGAATAGGGATCACCCGAGCGATAAAGTTTTTCTGTGACACACAAAAATCACGCGAAGCCGCGGACAAAAGCTAGTTAATTATTCCAATCGCACTACGCATTAACTCGCGTGTTTGGTCATAATCACCAGTCTTGATTTATAACCTCAGCAGTATTTTCGTCCTTTTTTTGTGGGCATTATGTGGGAAAACTGCTTTTGTGAAATAGTTAATCGCCAGTTCTGACTTGTAGGACGGACGACAGTATTTACAAAACTATCGAAACTTATGAAGTTTTAATATAGATTGTAACAGTGATCTTGCAAAAAAATATTATATACTTTCGACTCTACACTACATATGGTCGGCTTATCGAAAACGTAAGATTAATTTTAATGTTTTCAGCCCCCCTAGACAAGTTGCAAAATGTGACAGTTTTATGTCGAAAGATGGTAGCCTTTCTTTTGTATGGAGTTACAACAGATTCAATTTTCAATTCGATAAAAAAGTACCACTTGTCTAGACCCAAAGGACGTCCTTGCGTCGTACGTGCTTTTTAACTTGTCAAAAGAATATTATTAACTGTCAAGTAGCCGATCCCACCTTTATCTCTCTAAAAATATGCTTAGCTTATTGACTTTTTAATAAGATTTCGTATTTTTTAATAGTTTATTTATCCATACAACAAAAACAATGGTAAATTTACTGAAAGTGAGTAGGTACTCTAAACGACGTATCTTCTCTAATTTAGTTGAAAGAGTTTCGATATCTTATACCTGTATTCACCATCGATGCTTGCTTAAGTGTAGCAGCAAATCGAACGCACAGCATTGAATAGAGCTCTGTGATTGGTTCGTGTGTCACAGTGAGCGTTCACGCGTACTGTGAGACCTCGTAGAAATGTTTGTGAATACGGACGTACGCGACGAATCTCCTCTAGTAGTTGAAAGAGTTGTAATACCTTAGCCAATAACCCAGTGACATTATTACTACTTTGTCCTTATTTAGGTTAGTGTTACGACAGCAACGCAATCTCAACAATATTTGTAGCCCAGTATAAGCAGACCCTTACAACTTACACGAATTCTCTGTTCTCAGGGATTAGACATTGATTCTCAAAGTTTTAGTAACATGCAATCTCCTCTACGTAATATTAAATGACCCAATACATTTTGTAGCGCCCTTTCTTTATTATTAGAGCTTATAAAGGACCCAATGTATTTTGTAGTGCCCTTTCTATATTATTTGAAAGTAAATGACTTCCCAACTCGTCTGGCCAGTATGGGGAGTTTAGGACAAATCCTCCATAATGCCTTGTGTAAGTAAAATAAAGGGTGCAATCTTACAGTGGAGGCTAAACTACCTGATGACGATTATGATGATGACTAGTAAATGAAAATAAGTTCAAATGGTGCCAGACAGTTGCGATGATGTAAACAAAATTGTAAGCACTATTTTTAGTAGTTCATAGAAATAAAGGCACTTTGACTTTGACTAAAATAAGTTATAACGCATTTAGAGCCGGGTTTTCGAAAGCACGAGTACCTACATCAGAAGTCAGAATCTTGACATTCAGGGCACTTCATCGCGCCTCTGTGATATCAGTTCGTATTAAAATAGTAAATTACTATTTATTCGTCTCACAAAAATACCATTTTGTCTCACAAAACTCTACAATAATTTTGAAAGGGTTTATCAATAACTTTGAGAAACATATCTCAGTTGAGAGATCTTTTCGACTGGCCAAGTAATCCTTGGAAAGAGGCCAAGTGCATCAGAAGTCAAGCTCGGATACCCAGCGTCCTCGACGAGAACTACCCTCATAAATACAGAGACTTTCCTGCTGTTTGGGCAATCGGCTTCGGACTTGTTTTCATATTGAAGTGTACAGTTAGCCTCAAGTAAGCCTTATGTCTGTAGAGATAAGTGTCACAATTGTGTTCCAATTCGTTGGAATGTTGATCGTACAAAAGACAAAGTATGTGAATTGAAACAGCGTTATCTAGAGATGATATCATGTCTGAACTAAAGCATTTTAATTGTGATCAGTTTTATCAAATAAAAGTAGTTATTTAGATCGAGTAGCACGCTTACTTTGACCGTAACTATAAGAATAACCGGTGTTTTTTGAATGGAATTTTCCAGATTTTTTGTGTTTGTTAAAGTTGAAATAAGTTGGTGCAACTCTGCCTTAGAGTTTTAAAACTTAAACTGATTTAGTGTATTAGGCCATGGCTGTGATATAGGAATAAAACGAAACCTATAAAGAAATTCTTTATCTTTTGATAGGTTCATATGAAGTTGACTCTACTTAAGATACTTTTTGGCAGATGTTTAAACCAGTAAGAAGATTAACATTTCGATTGTTGGCTTAGTAATGAGAGTGGGAAATCGTAATAAACCTGAAACAAACTCCATTCAACTCACACGCTTACTTACGAAGCCAAGTTCCGAACTTTGTAAAGACAAGTGCATCGGAAAACAAACAATTTTGAAGGAAGTTCTCTATTCTCATTTACAATTCCCGTAAAGCTGAATCTACACTACTCTAGGTATAGGAGGCAGATTGGTAATGTTTTAAGTTCGGAACACACGTCAGTTTCATTTGTTTTTTTTTGTCCAAAAATGAAAGATTGACGTTTTTCTTTTTATTTTTCACTTCTTTTTTCACTCTTCAATGTGTCTGTTGTGCCAATGTGAACTTAATTTACTTATTTTTAAGTACATAATTAGGTTTCATTATTTAGATATCATTAGTGTTTAACAACATCAGTTGAATAATGAGGATCAATGCTCTACTTTCTTCTTTTTACACAATAATGACGGTATAATTATCATTTACCAAATTTAATTCATTTCCTTGTTTATTTCAGTTACGAGCGGTTTTGAAATTAATAAACAAATGTTTTAAAATATCCATTGATCTGGCTTTAAAATTAAATGAATAAACTATCCTTTGTTAATTATGA